TGACAACATTAGGACCTGCCTCTTTGAAAGTAAGAATATTTGCTTTCACCAATTCTTGCACTCTGTTTTTCAATGCATAACAGCTCTCTAAATCATGATCGGCAGCTCCCTGATGAAATTCACAATGAAGGTCAGATCTGAACCCATCTGGAGGAGGATTTCGAGGAATCAGAGGCCTAGTCGTAATCAAGCCCTTCTACACCATTGCAGGATATAATTCAGTGTACGTCATAGGGATGGGATCAAACTGAGCCCTATTCCGATTCTGATTTTGCGCAATATTCTGTTGTTGAGGAACCTGAATTGGTTGAGCATTGACCGAGGGAGTAACAACCACTACTTGTGATTGATCAATGTATTGAGGCCTATGGCGAGGTCCTATTCTCTCAGTTGAGACATCATTGGCTTCTACCTCTTTCTTCTTCTGAAAGTTCCCAAGGTATTTCTTTGCACCATTAGAAGATTCAGCAGCTTTAGACACTTTACCATTCTTGATTCCTTCTTCTAATCTTTAGCCGATAGTCATCAGGTCCGTGAAGCTGGAGGACACACTACCAATCATCTTCTCCAAAAAGAAAGGGGACAAAGTATCCATGAACAAACCAGTTAACTCTTTCTCTGCCAGAGGTGGTTCAACTTGAGATGCCAATTCTCTCCATCGTTGAGCATACTCCTTGAAATATTCTTTCTTATTCTGAAACATATTTTGCAATTGGCGACGATCAGGTGCCATGTCAAGGTTATATTTGTATTGTTTTATGAAAGCATCAACAAGATCTTGGAAGCATTGGATACGACCTTTCTCAAGGCCCATATACCATTTCAATGAAGCTCCACTCATACTATCTTGGAAACAATTGATAAGCAACTTGTCATTCTTGGTGTAAGCAGACATCTTTTGAAAGTAAATCACCAAATGACTTCTTGGACAAGTGTGCCCCCGGTATTTCTCAAACTCAGGAGTCTTGAACTTTGCAGGCATAACCAAATCAGAAACTAGGCACATGTTGTTAGCATCAACACTGAAGAACTCATTTCGTTCCATAGCTCTGAGTCTCTTCTCTAAAGTATGATACTGTTCTTTGAACTCTTCAAACTCACCGAAGTCTCTTTGACTCACACTTCGAGGACTGGCAGCATGGTACTCAAAGAAAGGGTTCCCAAAAGCAGCTTGTGCAGCAGGTTGACGAGAAGCAGTATGAATGATTGGCTGAGGTTCAGTGAAAACTGGAGCCTGAAAGACTGGTCGGGAAGACTGGCTAACCATTGGAGTAATTGCAACAGGCAAAGAGTAGTTATGAGGTAACCCAAACTCTGGCCATGTAGTAGATGTATGCTGGATAGGTTGAGTGTCAACAACAAGAGTTGGGATTTCAGATATCACAGTACTTTGAGGTGGCTCTCCTCTGGAAATCAGGACTTGCATCATCTCAGTAAGTTTGGCCATGCCTAACTTCAACTCATTGATTTCCATTCTGACTTCCATGTTGTGTTGTTCTTGGTTTTCCATTCTCAATCTGATAGAAGCTTTAGTCCCGTAGTTATGTTGAGGAATCAGCTTGACGGTGGATGACTAACTGGAAGAAATAAGCAATTGGGAATAAGATCCTGAACAACCTGGATGTATGTAGAATGATGCAGAGGATGCAAATAATATACAATGTTATGCAATGCACTGCACAGTAACAGGATCACATGGTTCAAAGTCACGAGCCTGGAGTTAAAGGCACAACCCATAAGGTATAGACTAATGGTTATCACCTGCCAAACAAGGTTCTAAGAGGTTCTCAGAGTATACATCCTTCCTTCGGATATTACCAACGTCCCGATTAACTCAGTAATTAGTAATATTCTCAGGAAAAAACTCGTCCGAGCGTAGTATCGCGTGACAACTATTTCCGGATTACTTCGTCATAGCTTCCGCACTACACCTAAAAGGCCAAGATGGGTTAGGTAATCTAGGGTCCTCAACTTCAGCAGGCTCCCAGGTCGAAAGAAGTATGTCTTCCCGATTACTCGGTAAACAACACTACAGTCAAAGGGGCCTCCACTGAGCTCATGTCTCCTTTTTTGGGATTACTCCCTCAAAGTTAACATGACTATACCACCCGTCCTATCTTAAGTTTTCCCAAAGTCCGGGTATAGGACTTATAAGAAATCACCAAACCCCTGAAAACTAAGAAAATCCAGACAAACATATGTACAGCATAATGGGAAGTAATAAACAGCAAGTAAAACAATATATACACACTCATAGAAGAGAAACAAACAAAGCTAGGATTGACCCACTTAGGAATGGACCAGCAATAGGTCAATCTGTCCCCAGTGAAGTCGCCACTTTCCTGTCGCACACTTTTCTTGGCCATCAATTGACTTAACTCAACACAATGAAGTCGCCACCGCACTTTATTATTTCCAAAGGGAAATGGGAAAAAAGCGAACAAAACCCAAAAAGATCAGAGATCGAGGTACGGGGGTCGGTTATGCGAAGGAAAGGTATTAGCACCCCAAGCATCTGTGGTATTCCACAGGATCCACTTTGTTTGGTTTCTTTAATAAGGAGTGTCATGTAAAAGTTTACTTGCTAAAGGAAAAGAATGAATGAGTATTTATAAACAAAAGAAAATGAAATGTTTTTTTTATTATTTTTGTTGCTCGCCTTGGGTCGTAAGACTTAGTGCCTACATACTCCCTCGTGCAATGGGAAAGTCAGAGCACCGTAGTTCGGCTAGAAAAGACTTGTCCGTTGGTTGATTTTAAACAAGGAGACAAGTCGTCATTGTTAGGAGAGAAATCTCGACTAACGCCCACAAGGTGTGAGAAAGATGGACCCTGTATCAGCAAGAGTGAGGGTTTGAGAATGCCTCTAGTACTCAAGTGGAAAAGTTGACACCTCTATAACCATAGGGATAGGAGAATGTTGCTCGACTATCAATGAATCATGTCTCAACTCGAAAAAAATTTTGAAGGGTAAAAGTGCTCGAGCGCACAAAAAGGTTTGAATGAGTTGAAGTGTTTTTGTTAATTTTGAAAGATGTCAAAGTATGATTAAATGAATTGCAGTTTGTTTATAGAAAAGAAGTTTTAAAATAAAATGCACTCGACGAGGTCGAGTTTTATTATGAAAGCGATTCGAGTTTATAAACAAAGAAGATTTTGCAAAAGATGAGAAAGTTTTGAAAATTAAAGAATGGGAGAAAATAAAAGACAGTATCCTATGTACAGGAGGGTAAAAGATAAGGTAAAGCAGATCTGAGCGAATAAGAAACCAGTACTTGACATGACAAAGTCAATACTGTATTCCCATCCCTTTGGGTTTAAAGCCACAGACAGAAAAAAAAACTAAGAGTATACCAAACCTCAGGTGAAAATAAATCACAAGTCAACAACATCAAAAAACCAGATGTAAGATAATACTCCCAGCAACGAATAAAGCTAGTGCAGCACGTGAAAATAAATCACAGATAAAGAAATCGCGGATGAAGCTCGCGGTACTGGATAAGGCTTAATATATCAAATAAATCTCACGGTATCGGAAAAACCTCCCTGCATCACATGAAATGTACAGACAAAACTAACAGCACAGGAAAAATTATATGCGTCCGTACAATTTTCAGAAGTTAGTTGGAATTAAAAAAATAAAATCATAATGCGATGAAAATAATATTTACATAAATTGAATTTATTTATAAATGAAGTGAATAAAATATACAATCAAAATATTATGTACAAGTATATATTTACAGTACCAAATATTAAATCAGAATAATAAAATACAATGAAAAGGTAAAGAGAGAAGTGTAGAAATTATTGATGCGATATGTGAGAATGGATACTTGAAACAATTTTCAAAAACCTTCACAGCAAACAAACTCGTTAGTAGCATAAGCGGTATAAAATTTAAAATGAAACGAAATTGCAACAAGATTTGAATTTATGTTAGTAATCACAAAGTATAAAAATCAAAATGAACTTGTATGATGCATATGAATAAATGAATATTTACACAAATCAAAATCAAGAATTCATGATATTGTTCAATGTAAACATAAAAAATTAGCATTATCAAAAGTTGGACAGCAACAAATTATGCATAAAAAGCTCATGAAAATTAATTTCAAAGTGATTCCAACCTTATGTATAAACACTAATATTAGACCAACAAACTTTGTGAATTGAATTCAATTTGAAACATCATCAAAACCACTTTTAAAATGATTTAAACGACAAAACAACATCAACACCGATAATTCAAAATTAATCAATTCATGCCAAAATCACATTAAGTTCAAAAAAGTGATGAAAATAAGTTTTGAATCAAATTTTTGGCAAGATATAACTCCGGACAGCAACCAACACTAATCGTTATCGCACGATAAAATTCACCGTAAACATGCTCAAACAAACTCAAAGAAACGGTCACAATGCCATGAGCGAATCTACCAACCAAAACACAACCAAATTATGCCTAAAACGAAATTAACATCCTCTTTAAATCGGAACAAACATGATACAAACTCAAGATTAAATAACATGAGCATATTGCAATCATTATTTATGATTATTTTCAAAATATCACGTTGATTTCAAAACAATTAACTCAAAAAACACAAGCATTGAAAACACAAATTTCCAAACAATTTAACAATAATTGAAAGGTATTATCAACCAAAAAAACTCATCATTACACTTGACATAAACAAATTAATCACAATTTTTTTTATCACATAACAACAATTATCACAGCGCAACCAATTTTCAGATTTTAAACTCAAGAAACAAACATGGAAGCATAATGGTTACAGGCAAAAGAAATTGAAAGTTACCAAATGTCGAAGTTGTTACGGGATTGGCGGATGTGCGTGAACAGAGTTGCTACCGGTTATTGTTGTTGCTGTAGAAGGAAGAGAAAATGGAATGTTAATGGTGGTGGTGAATTGAAGCAGTTCACGAAGTTTGTTGTTCAGTCGCGGTAGCCGGCAGTAGGTGGAAGGTGGAGGCTATCTGTGAGTTACGATGGTGTTGCTGGGTTGATGAGGGCGGAAGGTTAGCGTTGGAGGTGGTATAATTGATGAAGATGAAGTAGATGGTAATGGGTTGTTGCTTGCGCGTGGATACATTGGGTTGGGGATTTGCGTTTGTATGCTTGTGGTGATGATGATACTGTTTTGGGTGGTGTTCATGGTTTATGAGGGAAGAAAATTGAGATTGGGTGATGAAGAGATGAAGGTTACTGTGAGTTGATGAAGGGGATGGTTAGTGCGGAGAGAGAGGAAGTGAGTTACTGTATATGCTTTTGGGTTTTTGTTGTGTGTGTTTAAACAAAGAGAAAGAATCTCTTAAATAGAACAATGAAGAGGGAGAAAAAATGATGGGCTGATTTTTAATTCGTTTGGAAAATTGTCAATCCGTAATTCCTGCCAGCAATCAATGAAAATTAAGCATAGTGCATTTAATAATTTTTTGTGACTAAAAAGCCCTTTTATTGTAAAAATGAAATAAAAACTGAAAATATTTAAATTAACTCAAATTATTATAATTTGTTTTTGAATTTTTTCTGAATAAAAAAATAAAGATCCAAAATGACCAAAAACGATAAACAACTGATGAAAATTTATCCGAAAAAATAAAATGAACACATTAAAATAAACTACATGTCACAAAGATTAAAGAAAAAAATATTCAAAAAGTCAAAATTGAAATAAAATGATAATAAAAATATCAGGCTAAACAGACGTTTACGGTTAAAAACGAGACTTCAAACTGTACCGAAAAAATAAAGCGAGCATACCGTCATAATCTACGCGAGACGCAGATTCATAAAATGATCGATAAAAGGTGAAAACTTGAAATATTTTTCTCGCTAATTTTCCGCACAATGTCGAATTGCTTTTAACAGTCTGTCTATAAAACCGAAATATTTTTATTATCGACATATAAATAACTTGGAGCAATGCAAGAAAATAGTAAACAGATAAAAATGAATGAAGTGAAATGTCAGGTATTTTACAACTACAAAACGATGCAAATGTCGATTTAAACAGACTTTTGATCAGCTTAAACACGATTAAATGATGCAAATGTGATGGATGAAGCTATTTATTAATGATTGTGACCAAATGACAAAATATGGTATGAATGTGCGACTGAAAAAAATTAGGCGCGAAATTTAGGGTACAACAACTGCCTCTATTTAATTATCTTTTAGCCAGATAGGCGGAAAGTAATTAAATACAAACAGACCTGAATTTCATCCCTGATGCGATGAGATGATAGCACATGTTATGAGTGAATGCATGAACTCTTTTTTTTGACATATATTTTTTGAATGATGAATGAGATGAGACAAACTCTGTGGGAATGTGGAAAGACTCGAAACTGGAAACTTATGGTAGTTCAGATGAAATGACGTGGAAATACACGTTAGGGAAACAACAAGATATTTTTGGATATCTGTCAGAGTGACAAGGAGTAACCAGCAATACTTGGAAAAAGATAAAAACTCGAGAAGGCAAGCAGCGACATCCAAGAATGGCATTGAATGAGGCGAGCAACTTTCTGGAAAAGACAATCAGAAGGATCTAGAAGAGAATTAAATGTAAGATGAGACTAAATCTGAAGCTACATCAGAGTCATCCAGGAAAGACGTTAGACGGAAGAGAAACATGACATCCAATACTGGCTTTGAATGACAACAAAAGATTCCGACATTCAATAATGGCTTTGAATGAAGGGAAAACTCAACGTCTAATAATGGCTTTAGACGAGAGAAAAAAGTCACAACATCCAATAATGGCTTTGGATGGAAACAAAAGATCCTGACATTCAATACTGGCTTTGAATGAAAGAAAAGCTCAATGTCTAATACTGGCTTTAGACGAGAGAAAAGATCGCAACATCCAATACTGGCTTTGAATGAGTGGAAAAGCTCAACATCTAATAATGGCTTTAGACGAGAGAAAAGCTCAAGGCGTCCAATACTGGCTTTGGACGGCAGAAAAGGTAACAACATCCAATACTGGCTTTGGATGGAAAAAGAGATCTTGACATTCAATACTGGCTTTGAATGAAGAAAAAGATAACAACATCCAATACTGGCTTCAAATGGAAAAAGAGATCTCATATCCAAGATTAGCATTGGACGGAAGAGAGAAACAACTCATCCAATATTAGCATTAGACGAAAGAGAGACAGCTGAACTGACGCATGCTTTGGTAGGTGCCAAGTAAGTTGGACTTTGACCTCAAGGTGACATGTCAACTGCAACAAGACCTCGGGAAATGAAAATGAGGATGAAACACTCTTGTTGTGCATTTTGTTATGCATGATATGTGTTGTACCCCAAAATTTGCCCTCTCATTTTATCAAGATTTCCCCTCACAAGACTCTTTGAACTCCAGACAGGATTAGGGTTTTGCTCTGCTCAAGACATCTCCTTACACTGATGACCTAAATTAGGGTTTGAGGTTGCACAGGGATTTTTGGACTTTAAATGCTCAAAGTGACTTTTATATTTCATATTGGACCTATAAGATTTCCCCTACCAAGTTTCAAGCCTTGAATCAAATTTTTTGCCCAGTCAATTGGACAGTTGACCTAGAAATCAGCTGTATTGGGGAAAAAGTCAACTGTGGCCAATTTACAGTCAAACCTCACAATTTTTGATCCACATCAACATTATAGACTCATATGAACCATTTGATCAAGTTTGGACCACAACTCCTCAATAAATTTGATCAGATCATCAAAAGGGCAAAATGGTCATTTTTAGGGTTTTGACTGTATAAGGGAAATTTCTGATTTTTCACCTAGCCAATGGCAAATTGAGTTCAAGCATGGACTCAAGGACTCAATGACATCATCTTTACCTATTCACAAGGTTCAAAAGATCTCAAATGCATTGGATTGACAGATGAATTTTCCAGTCAACTGATCAAAATTTGACTATACACTGAAAAGTCAAACTTTGACTTTTTGGTCAAAATCAAGTGCCAAGGGTCATTTTTCATCAAGATGTGTCAAAACATGAAACTTGTTCATCAAGAAACCGAATTTTGCAAATTAGGGTTTAAGATTGAAAAATTTCATAACTTAGAATTTTTCTAAGTTATGAAATTTTCTTAATTTTTCCCAACTTTGCCCAACATTTTCACCATGATGCAATTGGATTCAAGCAAAACTTCCAACATAAAAGTTTTAGTCCTCCACAAAGTCTACAACTTTATTCATAAAGTTTTCCCAAAAGAAGCTTGGATCTCAAGTTATGATTTTTGGAACAAGGGTCCATGAAACTTTTAACTTAGTGAAATTTTGGAATTTTTTTTATTAATAACCAAGTATTAAAAAAATATTTCGCAAATAACCGGGTTTCGGAAAAAATTACGCAAATAACCATGTTTGAGATGGCTCCATAAAGGAGGAGCCAAGTCATTTGGCGCATGCACCTAGGGTTTTGCCCTAGGCGCCATCTCACTTGGCGCCTCCATTGGCTTTTAGCCAAGTGAGATGGCGCATGCTCCTTAAAAAGGAGAGGAGGCGCCATCTCACTTGGCGCCTAGGGCAAAACTAGGGTTTTTTGCCGTTTTATAAATAATTCGTCCGTTTCTTTGAAATTTCTCACACTTTCTCGCGCAGTATTTTTATTTTGTACTCCCTTATTTACGTAATGACGTCGCCTATGATTTTTAGCAGAGATGGTTACGTTATATTCTCCGCCACGAAACCCGCGATGAAAATGAAATTCTGGCACATTCACTCCATGGAGCGTCTGAAGCGGGAGTTGATGCGGTGGCTAGATGGAGACATCGCCGAGGGGGAAAAAATTCGAAGGATCCAGCGAAAACGAACAACAACCTCGCATGCGACAGGAAGACCTAATGTGTGGTTGGAGGAAGTCAAAACAGACAGTGATGTAATGCTGATGATGCATGGGTCAGATGAAATTGTGTTAACAGTTGTAATTTCCTAGATTGATTATCGTTAATCATTGTTGTACGCGAAAACCCTAATTTAATTTCCTAGATTGATTATCGTTAATCATTGTTGTACGCGAAAACCCTAATGTAATTTCCTATATTGAATTTCTTAAATTGTGTGAACAGTTTTATTAACGGAAAACCCATAATGTTTACAACACAAATATTGAAAAGATTTATTGTATTACAAAATTTATGTGGTCGAGCCAGACGCCCGATTCGGACAGTTTTTGCGATTGTGTCCGACCTGACGGCATAAACCACACTTTCTTTCCAACCTGTCTAGATCGTCCATTTCTGTTGTTATGCGCCTGCTTTTGGGACGACCCTTCTTGTTCCTTCGCATTTGGTCATTGTGCCAAACTATATCACCGCTGTATTCAGGCCAATAGTCCGGTTTTGCCACCAAAGGAAAGTTGTTGTTGTAAACAGTTAGCAACGTCTCAGATTTATAAACGTTTGATAGCAGTTGAAGCGCGTCTTGATGGGTATGCGCACAAGCGGCAATGACATGAGAGCAAGGCATACGAAAAGCTTGAAACCTGCCACAATCGCACCATTGAGAAGGTAAAATGACCCTGTATTCCTGTCTTGCCAGGCCTTCATTGTGGTCAATTGTCTCTTTCACAATGAAGTTGTGGCTATGGCGGTCAAACCGTGTAACCATGTGAGTGTTGGCTTTTGCACTTTCAGCCTTAATGTATTTCATACAGCTTTCACTCCACAGTTGTCCTGATTGCAAGACCGAATACCACATTTCACCTCTTTTGGCAAATAACGCAGCCATCCTAAAATACGTGGATTTCACCAAGGCAGTGATGGGGAGGTTTCGTATGCCCTTGAATACCCCATTCATTGATTCAATGAGATTTGTTGTCATATGCCCCCATCTTTGGCCATTGTCGTATGACCTAGTCCACTTTTCGACCGGTATGTTGTCGATCCACGTACCGGCTTCTGGGTTAGACAAACGGATCTCGTTGCGGTAATATTTGAATGTGGGCTGTGTCAGTGCGTATCCCGCATTCATCACCGCTTTCCGCAATGTTTTGTCCTTGACCTCCCTCGAGAAATTCTGGACGATATGCCTGATGCAATAGACATGCGTAGAAGGAGGGTCATGCCAACCATTTGCCGGATTATTATAGGCACTTTCAATAGAGGCATGTCTGTCCGAGATCAAACATAGATCCGGTTGAGGAGCCACG